CAAACTCCTATTTGTAGACAGTCAGTAGCATTGATGGTAGTGGGAGGAACCGGTACAGGGCACTTCTTTGGGGGAGGCTGAAGTAAGCATGACAAAGATCTTTTCTGTCCTGGCCTTTGGTAAGGCATACAACAGTTCCGATGGATCTGAAAAGTCAGTGGTGATTTTCCCGCTTTAATGTCTTTGGTTATAAAAAGACAGGTAACAAAAAGTTCTTTAATTTGCTTTATTATGCCATACAGAAATCTGCTCTGGTGCTTCTTCCTCACTCTCCTGTCAGCTGATCTAATCAGCTTTTACCAAGAAGCATCACAAAATCCCACTTTAAAAAAAAAAAAAAAAAAAAAAATCTCAAGGCATTCCACCATTTAAAACCTTCATGGATTCATGCTGAGCAGTTCTGGATTCTTGCCTAAAAATGCCACAGATCCACAAATGTAGAAGGATTTGCAACCAGCCTTTCCCCTCTAGCTGGTATCCTGTGCTTTGACCAGTTTTATCTAATTCCTGTGCTAATTCTGTAATGAGAGCTGCTACACCAATGCCAGGATTTTTCAGTGCCACGCATCTGACCTTGTGCTTGATGCCTCCGGCACATGCAAAATGGACAAGTGTGCAAAGGGGGGTTCAAACAGTTGCTTTTCAAATGTTCTTTGAGAGCTGGGTAGACATAGGGTGGGTAGGCAGCCCATGCCAGTGCTTTACTGCCCTTCTCATCAGGAGGCTCCCTGATTTCCAACCAGGATCTCACTTGCTGCAGTTTAGGTCTGTGCCTTTTTACGACAGTGATCGTGCACCTGGAGACTCCCTTTACATATCTAAAGTCTATGATGTTTCCTTCCCCCTTGTATTCTGTGAGCTCAACCACCACAACTCCTTCACTCTTTCTTTGTAGATTGTTAACTTCAAGACCCCTGATTATTTCTGTCCGTTCTGTTTGGACTCTCTCTAATCAGTCCAAACCAAACCAAATGCTCCTGCTGAGCCCTCACCAGTATTAAGTCAAGCAGGATTACCCCACAAAACTGAAATGCTGTGACAGGTCATGTATTCCCATATGACACTTACCTGCTTTGCAAGAAACAGCACTGGTGATGACGTTCAGCCTGTGGCCAAATGTCATGCACGCATGTTCTCTACGGAACCTCTCCTAGCCAGGTCTATGACATATAAAGCCTTGTACTTGACTTTATGGAATTATACTACATTTTCAGGTAATTTGTTTTTCTAAAACATCAAGCCTTGATTGAATTCTGTTTTCCGTGGTGCTTGCAGCCCCTCCCAGCCTGATACCACTTTCCAGTTTCATAAACATTCTCTCAGAATTTCCCCCCAAAGCATAAATGAAAACATAAGACAGTACCGCTTTGCAGATAGTCTCCTGGGGATTCTCATTTCCTGCACCTGACCATCCTCATGCACTTATCGCCATGGCGTACAGAGAGCAATAGCACAGAGCTTGGGTGATGGGGAAGGACAGAGGATAACAAACAGATAGAATAAAGGAGAATAAAACTTATCCTCAAATTGAATAGTAAAATTAACACAGAATAAAAAAAGAAGACATGGGTGTTCTGGTTATTTTAGTGCAGTTTTAGCTATTATAATAGGCATAGTGTACTTCCATGTGCCTTTACAGAGTAAACATCTAATCCCTCAGGAAAAGTAATACACGTTTTGAAATATTGCATCATTAGGAGCACAGCTGATGCATTCCCCCTTTGCTTCAATTTCTCTGTTACAAATCCGCAAGAACATTGGAGCCAGATGAGTTCAGAACGTCTCCTTGCATCTAAAACCATCTCGTTGACATTTACCGTATTTGTCCTCAACTAATTTACAACTCTAGAGTTCACAATGAATGCAAACAAAAATGAAATAGATGTGGTTGCAGTTAGTGACAGAATCTCCTAACAAACAGAAAAACGGCTAAGGCATTTAATAGTTACTCAGGTTCTTCAAATTTGTTCAGAGAAGTTTTTTAAAGGCAATATGGTTGAAAGTAGCTATATTACTCCTAAATGAACTTGCTTGACCTCCCAGAACAAAGCAGTACTTTATCTTCAAGCCCTGCCTTGGAAAGCATTCTGGATTGCAGATAAATACCTCACTTGTAGACCATTCCGTGGAAAATATTCTTTGCAGATCAGCTATTGCAGATTTTTAAGTCTGTATTTCAGATTTCTAAAACCGAAGTAATGAGCTGCGAGTACAGTGTTGTTCAGAATGTGAAGAAAGAGAGGATATCCGTGGGAAGGGCTTCATCTGTGCGGAAGAAAAAGTTTCCTTGATGGACTCCGTTGTTAAACGGACTGCCTTTAATTATTGTAACTTCAGACTGCGCCATGACACAGACATATTCAATCATGCCTGAGTCTTGAACATGAACTTCAGTACAAATCCACTGCTTGGGCTTCTAGCTTTTCAGATTCTCATATTACAGCTAGCACCGTAACGAGTTAACTTTACTCTGGCTGAGATCCACCTAGGAAGCACTGCACAGAGTCCACATTTCATTTACAGCACATTCGTCAGATTTTTTATTTCAAGAGGCAAAAATAGCTCCTTTCACTTGTTCAGTACAACAGAAATTAAAAAAAAAAAAAAATAGAAAATGCTGTTGGACCAAATCTATAACATCACTGACATTAGTACAAACTTGTCAGTTTACACCAGCAATGATCAGAAGGACATCAAGATTTGACTGATCTCATGTATAAAGTTGCTTAATCTTCTGGATGGATCGTTTCCACCAATCTTCCCAACGCTGAATTGTCAGCAGCTGAGCTGTACTTTCTTCCTTGATC